CCAAGGACTCTCTCTTTATTTATTATTTGCATGAGCCAAGCAGGGAAATATGTAGTGAAAGTTTCCACTGAGCAAAATCTTTTCCAAGTAGGGTACTTTCCCACTGCTTTCCTAGTTCCAGCTGCTGAGATCATAAATACTAGTCTCATCAGTAGGTTCATTGCAAACATTCAGCAAATTTCTTCTCCAAAGACTCATCCATCTTCCTAAATTAAAGTTTTTGCCAAAGTTTTGGGTGTGTTACATGTGGTACATTTTTGTTTGTTACTTTAAGTCATCAACTTGCATGTAATCTCTCCTTTTCACAGAAGCACCATGAAGTGTACAAGCATGACGAGAATCAGGAAATGCTTCAGATTCCATCCTATCTGAGCCTTTGACTGAATCTACAGGGGTGTTATAGCCCATCAACATGTCAATTGGTTCACTCCTAGAATACATGATGCACACTCCAACTTACCTTTCTTTCACCTCCCATTTCTCCCACAATTAAGACATGTGTAACTTCTATTCATGTGATAAATATAGCGCTGTACTGTCCTGTGTCTGTTGAGCAGCAATTAGCTTTTGGAAAACCTCCAACTTCACACATGAAAAAGGTCCCAATATAGAGTCTGCCCATGTAACATCTTGCTTGTGCTCCATAATAGCCCACTATCTATCTCCTCTTTCTGGTCTTCCAACAAAATTAGGGGTAAATGGATGCACCTACTCTCTCCATTGCATTCTATATCTAAATTAATCTGCAATTTTGAAAATAACTCTATGAATATATAAATATGTGAAATATGTGTTTCAATAAATATTTAAGTATGCTTTTTCCTTCAAAGTGCTTATTTAAGAAGTACAGGTATCTTAACACATCACCATAAAGTTTAGAGATCAGGGAAATCTACTGGATCCCTAGATTCTAGGTTGCATACTAAGGCAGCTGAAGCCATTTCTATAGAAATTCGTAAGGACTGGATGCTTCAAATATCATTAATAAAGCCTCTATTGTAGGGATGCATGTATTGGACAAAATTCACTCCATTTAAGTTGCAGGGGGCTGAATTTTAGGAGACTGGACTGGACTTACCACCTACAATATTTTTTCTTCTAACTTACAGTATAACACCACATGGCTCAGAGGACCATGGATTTCTTTGCTGAGACATTGTGAGTCCTGGCTCCTCTGGAAGCCAAAAGTAGCTCCTGCAAAGGGTTTTCTCTGCGGCAGATATTCCTCATGAAAACATGAGCACCTGCGGAAAAGACAGTACCAGAATGATCTGGTCTGGAGGTGGGGGTCACACGTTAAGTGTTCCACAATGGTAACCCTTGAACAAGGATCAAAGAATCATTCCATCCAAGGATCAAGCGGACAAGCTTCCAGATAAAAAGGCATAGCTTCACCTGTACACTCAGCAACCTGAGTGTAGAATTGTAGAAATTAAGCACTGTAACTCTACATTTACTTTTTGGTTTTGAGCTTTTGGGGAACTGTTCTATATCTTCATACTAATGAGATGGATTTAGGGAACATTTCGAATCGCAAGCTTTTGCATATAGCTAGAGTTTTGATAACCTGGATAAATGGGTAATGTCATGCTTTTGTGTATATTTAAATTGGCAGATTGAATCTGAAAGAAGTATTACAAATATAGTCTCATCCTCTCCACTCCATCTCTAGATGGCTATATTCATTTCTACATGAATGATTATTTATCATCTCTGTTCAGCATCTCTGTTCTATAGTGGTTAAAGAACAGTAATAAACACATTCCTATCCACCCCATTCATTTTCAAATGGCTGAACATCTTGCATTCCTGGACAAAGGGATTCCAGGCAGGCAGCCTACATATATAATTGAAGATTACTGCTTGGATGGCTAGATCCCTGGGTTTGTCAGCAGACATGGGTCCATCATGATAGCAACTATTTATAACCTGAAGCACAAGAGGTGGCAGTTTCATAGTCACCGCTGGCAGCCAAGAGACACGCAAGCTCCCAGTTGTCAGTTGGAACCCTGCAGCTGGAAATGGGCTACAAATGGATAAGGAGAAGATGAAACAGGGAACCATTAAAGGAAGACTTCTGTGGAATCACACAGGAAGAGGAAGCTGGTGAAAGTGAATGGGGGGAAAAGGGAAGTAGTTAGGCAGTGGTAGTCATATTAGGAAGAAAGCTTGGTATTCACTTAAGTTCATCATGGGCAGGAAAGGCTGCCAAAGAAAACAATGAAAGAGAAATGAATATCTCTATAGTAGCATCAACAGAGGAACTGCAATGGGAGAACAGGTAGTAGGTTCAGGAAAGGATAAGTAAGTAAGACCTCAGAAGAACCTGGGACAATGCCAGACAAAACATGGTGCTATGTCACGGATAGAAGACACTCTATCTCATATTCTTTGAATAAATGGGGTCTTAGGCTGTAATGAAAAACAAATAAATAAGTATAACTCTTTCCTGGTGTTGGCTGGTCTTCTCCAAAAGAACATGGACTCAGGATGTTTTACTCTATCCCATTAAGAGGAAGCAGAGAAGGGAAAGATAGAGGCACTTCTTGATGTGTTACAGACTACTATGTCACAGTTTTTCTCAAAGCATCTATCTCAAAGCATCTAAGAGGCCGTCTTCCAAAGTATGCAAAGAACTTATTCCATCTCTGCTTTCAGAAATAATAGCTTTATACTGAACATTGCAATAGATATGACCCAAGCAAACTTGTTTTGTTGAAAAGTAAATAGCAGCTGCAGGAGGTCAAGGTTTAGGAATATAAATCAGAACAGGGTTGCGTTGGTGGGTGAGAAGGGGTTAACCCTTTCATCCAGGCCAGTTTCTAAAGTCATTCATTCTCAAAGCTAAGTTATAGGCAGCTGTTGGCAATAAACCAAGAACTGAGTCGAGAGTTCAAGCCAAGGGAGGCTGAGAAAAAGCACATTCAGGTCAGGAAAACCATTTTGCTCACTAGCTCAAATGCGAAACTTTTTAAAGCCCTTCCTAACCAGGATGAACCAATTGCCAGCATGGATGGATAAGGCCAGGCCAGAGTCTGAGGACATTTCTAAACATTCTAAACTGTAATTCCAATAGTTGATACTGTAAGTCAGCACAACAACCAATCAACAGTTTTGAGTCCTAGTATCTCTGGCTACCTCTCCCATGGTCCTGAGCTCCTCTTCCTGAGCATCTCCTTACCATCATCTGTACACGAACTTCCACATTGCAGCTACTTTGCCCCCCTCCCCCCACCACCCTCCACAATTCTTGGGGCGTGACACTATTTCCATCACAGCTGCCTAAAGTCATGAGGATCAATGCTTCTCCAATCTTAGCATATATTATAAGATCACAATGATGTACATATTTGTCATCTCCACCCTAGCCCCTTGATGATGATGATGATGATGACGATGATGATTCCCCTTTTCAAAACCATCCCTTGAAGTAAGATGGACCAATGGAAAGTTAGCAGAATTGAAGAGAGTAAAAATCTGTTTCAAGTTCAAAACCCACACCCCTTGGCCACCTCAGAACTAGATAAGTGAAGGACACCACATTCTACCCCTGACCATTTTTTTATTTGGAATAATTCTAAAGCCAATTCTCTTTCATCAGACTAAATAAGAAGTGATGGAAAAGAGAGAATTTCTCTGCCTGACCCTAGATTTAATAGTCTACATGTTATGAGTTCACATGCTTGATAGGGAATTTCTTCCATAATTATCACTTCTGAATAATACCAATGTCATCAAACACATATCTCAGTCAAACGTTACTTTTTAAAGTGAGTATTGCACCTAAAATGCCTAAAACTTTAATATTAATAAAGCCCACAGAGAAAGAACTTTTGGGTAGTCCAACAATTTGTCTGTTTGTCAAATTAATTGCAAAGGCACTTGCTTAGAAGTTCCTGGTAATTTTTTTCCCCTTTGTTTTTAAGACAAAAAAGAGGAGCAGGAGAGTTTTTTTTAAAAAATATTTTGCTCAAGAATCAATTAAACACTTCCTAAGCAAATGTTCCTTGTGCTATTCTTGAGTGTGGAAAAGGAACACCCTTCCCCTCTCCCTTAATCTGTCCTTCTGTTGCTCTTCCTTTTCTATTCCCATCATGATCGTCCTGGACAAATTTTGTCCTGTGCAAAATTATCATTGCTTTCTGCTATGTTAAAGTCTCTGAGCATGGCAAGAATGCTCCAAATTTTTTTTAAAAACTGCTTTCTCTCTTTCTGGAATGAAAACCTGGCTCACCCACATACAAACATTATTGTCCAAGAGTATCACCCATGGACAGTTTCTTGTATTAACCAGAAAGGGTCCTCATTAGAAACTTCTTGGCTGTGGGGAACAAGGGTAGAAATGAAAAACAGATGGAGTCTACTGTCAACAAAACTCCCCCCCCCATCTCCCTTTCTAATGAAAGACAGCCCGGACAAGACATCTATTTCAACAAGATATCAAATCCTTAACGTTAACCAGAATTTGCCAGATCTGAGTTTGTTGCTGGGTAGTTTTTGGAATCTGACTTTTGCATCCCCCATTTTCCTTCACACAGAAGAGCCCAAAAGGAGAGGTACAAAGTTCAATTGCACACCTTTTGTCACAAGGCTGAGCAGCAGGCACATTGCTCAAAGGTGAAAAACTTGTAGACTGAACTGCGGCTCCAGATGTGCAATTAAAGGACCCATCGGTTGAATCAAATGCAACCACCTCTCTCCCCATGAAAGGCAGAAAGAGCACCCTGTGCATGAGAGAATCCTTCTGGGCAAGTATATACGCTGCACACGTGCCCATAGAAGAAATTCGGAGCTCTTCTTCTCATTAATGTGAGACAGAAGGTTCACCAAAAGTGACTGGCTTAATTCAGCAAAACCTCCATGCTTGTTGGTTCCCCCCGACACAACATCAAAACTCCTCTGCAAACAGTCCACGGTGGAAGTGCAAAAAGGAACAACGGCAAGGCTGAAGCCACATCCCCGTCCTCTTGCTTTCAATGAGAGCATATTTAAGCCCTTACCTCTGCAGCAAAGCCAACTCTCTGGCCGGTCTAGGAAGGCAGCAGTGGCGTTCAGGCGAGAGCACTACCGTACAAGGAAGGCTCTCTGGCTGTCTCTAAACCCCACAAGCCCAATTCACGAAATTGCACTCTCTCCTTGGCCCCTCCCAAAAGTCAGGGCTAAGTGGATACATATCCCTGATGTTTAAAATTGGCAGCCAGTGGCCGGCATTGTCCTCAATTTATTCTAAAAAGCAGCCAATGGCTTGGCTGCAGCCAAAGGTGGGGTCAGCCAGCCTGAGGGATGTCTGTCATTCTGCAGGCACATTCAGGAAGCTGTTCATAAGAAAACCAAGACCTCTGAAAATTCATACAGGCTGCCAAAATTGTCTTGTTCCATGCACTTTTTTGGTTATCCTTCACAGGGCCTCTGAAAGTAAATCCTCTGTCAAGAACAATCATAAGAAATGTTAATCTTGGAGAAAGAGGCTCTCTTCTTAAACACAAATGGAGGCGCTGAAAAAAATGGAAATGCATTTAAAAACCTGGTCAGGGAGAGAGAGAGAAAAAAAATAGGTCCCCGTATTTACTGATGCATTCGTTTTGGAGGGAATGCGGGGAACAGCAACATCAAGCAAGCCATTTGCCACAAACAAAATAGAACGACACTCTATTTTGGAAATGAATACCAGATGTTTTTAAAGTATGTCCTTTATCATTCTGAATCGGCTGGGAACAAAAGGGGAGGGGAGGGTGCAAAAGATGGGTAAGTGACTCGGAAAACATTCTGTGTAGGAAATAAACAATTTCTATTAACTTGTGCAACTTTAAACATTTTTCTCTCTCCCTCCCCCCCTCCACCCCAAAAAAGCACTTGGTTATTTCTTATGGCATATCCGCTTTTGGAAAACATACTCCTGACTAGAACTTTTTCAAACATTTTATTAGGACTGTCTGCCTGTCTATCTGTCTATGTTTCAATATTCCTTTTCACGCTCAGCTGGGGAAGGGCTGTAGTTCAGCAGATGTTTGTACAGAAATAGGTCCCCCTTCAATCCCAAACATCCCTAACTATGGCCAGGAAGCAGATGATGGTAAGGAGATGCCCAGGGAGAGAAGCACGGAACTCTTCCACACAGCAGCTCTAAAGTGCGGTTATCCAGTGTAAAACCCAGCAGAAAAGTACTGACCAGTCTTCCAGCCCCCTATTCTGCAGAATAAGGACTTTATCGGTACAAGAGAGAAGCAAAGGGGGCAATGGCTTTTTGGGGAGGACCTGTTGTCAGTTCTCCAACCACGAAGAGTGATCACTCCATGGGATCCAAGAATTGGGGCCACAAGAATGTTCTCTGCTGCTTTTCTTCCTCTTTTCTTGCCACCCAAGGCAAGACCCACTGCTACCTTCTAGTGTCAGGTCTCCAATCTCAGAGTCCGCACTCCTTGAGACTGGAGAACTGGCAGAAAAGTTTCTGGCAGCACCAAAAACCCCACTTCCTCCACCCAAAAGTGGTCTCTGAAGACCTTCTTCTCTCTGCTTCCCGTCCAACGTGGGGAAGAGAAGGACAGTGGAAGCCACTCTGCATCCCGCACCCCTGCACTGAAGCTCTGGTCCGCCTTGCCATGGAGATGCCCACTGCAGAGCTAAAATGAAGCTGTGGGCATCAGAAATGAGAGAAGAAGGAAAAGGGGGACCAGGGAAATGAGGCTGGGTAGAGATGAGAAATCAAAAAAAAAAAATATTGGAGGAAATCTGATTTGGTTTGGAGGGCATTCACACTGTGGACTGAAAGCATGAAATTATCACAGAGACAACCCTGGCCAAAAAGACTTTAGACGGCGATGACACCATCATGCTATTTTTGAAAGTCCAAAAATACATTAAGCCAAACCAACATGCAAATATATCTTCACAAAATCAAGCAAAGGAGACATCAGTTTTTTGTTCTCTTGGTTGAGATAACAATCCAGGCAAAGCAGTTTGCAACTGGCATAATGCCTTTGTGGGGTAATCTCTGTTGACTTCATGTACTCAGAGAAATGCTAGTGACTGCTGCCTTTGACCTTTCCTGTTCGTCATTCCTCAGCCACTCCAGCAAATGTTTGTTGTGGTTGAACCCTTGTCTAAGAGGTGTCCATAACATCTGAACAGAGCTTGGTGTGATCATGGTTCACAGACACTCACCAGCATTTGGATGAAATGCATAACTGCTGGAAAAATAACCAGAGACTTTGCATTTGGCTGGAAAAAGAAAAACCTTGACACATAACTCTATTTCAGTTGGAGCCTATACAGCTGTAGGTGAGTGAGTCTTTCGCCCAACCTGTATGTGTTTCCTCAAAGAAATGCAAAAAGCTGGAGGTAGTATCAAAGTGCCGAGCCTGACTAATGATCATGTGGGAAATGAATTCTTATTCAGAAAGAGAATAAAAATAAAACAGCAAGTATCATACAGCCAGTTTGATGGCTTAGATGTACTTAGATTATGTGAAAGCAAACCATAGTGATCCCATTTTCTCCCAGTCAGCTGATAAAGTACAGAAAGATGAACACTGAGTTGATTGATTGGTTGATTGGTTGATTGATTGATTGACTGAAACATCACTGCTGGAAACAGAAGCTAGAGAATTTTTACATTTGAGAAAATAACTGGGAGGGAGGTATATTTATTAAACTGGTTATTAAAAGTATTCCTTGAAGTGATAAGGCTGGGTCTGTCTGAACCATCTCAGAGTCCAACTCTGTTTCAAGAGCTGATGGAGGTATAATTTTGAAGCTTTAAAAAAAATATATATATATCCCCCCTGAAGTCCTCAGAGGAATGGAGGCATGACCAACTCACTTTTTAAAAAAGAAGTACACCCTCTTGGCCAGGAAACATTGCTCAGTTTTGATATTTATAAATTCCCTCCATACTTAGATAGCTAAGCATAAGAGAAGACTTGACTACGGTTCTTCTTTCTGATATTTACTTACTTAGGCTGAAAATTTTTCTTGAGAAAATTTCCATAATGTAAGATGCTTCCCATCCTTTCCATGGGCGATCTAAAATTGGATGGTCCAGGTGGGGTGTTTTGTTTTTTTTTTAAGTCAGCACAGTTAGTACTGGGCTGACAAGGAAGGGAAGAAGCTTTCAGACTGTTCCTTCTCTTCAACACAACTGTCTCTTGTGTCCTGTCTGTTGTGGGTGTCCCTAAATTCACCTGCCTGGACATGCCAATGAAGCAAAATCAACCCTGGTGAGAATTCCTCAAATTCCTTGCCTGAACCCTCACTAGGATTCAATCCCTGCTTACAGGAAGGCCATCAATTGATTTCTCCACTCCACGTGTGCATTCTGTGAACATGTGAATGGGGGCCATGAGTTACTAACTCTATCGCTATTATGATCACTGGTAGGACTACCAGATTTAAGCTGCTAAAATTCAGACCACAAAATGGCAGCACATAATTCCAACATTCTAACATTTTGCAGCCATCTAGTGTCTGTCCAGAGTTTGATAGTCCAATTGTGAGCACTAATCACTGGTTGCACCAACCTGAGGGCCAGATGTACAAAATTTGAAAGGGGCTTCCAGGCATACAGCACCTCTGCTCAACAATTTGAGCTAGCATGCAATTATGCAGAGTACACTATACACATTGGCATTTCACTTGAGAGCTGGAGCTATCAGACATGGTTTCCTCTCATCCCTTTGTTAAATATGTGAGAGGGAGGGGACTCGCCAGAATAAAATCTGTATCATTGTAAACCAGTCTTTCCCCAACCGGGTGCTTTCCAGATGCATTGTATTTCAACTTCCACAATTCCCAGTCAGCCATATATCTCCTATCTGAGAGCCTTTCCCCAGTGCTCTCTATCCATGCTTGGATCCATCAAGCATAATGTCAGCATGAACTTTGTTGTCCCCATTATTGATCTCCATCCTGCCTCTACTACCTCTCAGGCTACTCACTACCAGTCCCCTGTTTCCTCCAAGGATCATGGTTGACAAAACCCAACAGACTGTGTACACCTTGGAGTTGCCCTTGGCCAAGGTTGGAAAAGGACAAAATATTACTTTAATACCAATACAACTAAGTAAGACTTTAGTCTATCTCCCTCATGGGCTGGGAATAAGATACAGCAGAGTCATAGAGACATGGCAGAAACATGATGTTGCTAGGACATGTTTGTGTCATGGTTCAGTTCAAGAAGAGGAAGGCCTTTTTGGAATTATTGCTCTATTCCTGTTAGCAGTAACTACATGGATCCCAGCAACTGTAGCTAGAAAGGGGCACGCTCAGGCAGGGAAAATCCACTTGCTGTTGAAATTGCTGTTTAACCTGTTGTCCAGATTAATTTTCTTCAGGATGTATATTGACTTTGTCAAACATACAGACATGGCTCTAGAAGGACTACAGCAGCCCAAACTTGTTGCACAACAGCATAAAAATCAATTGTTAACAGCAAGTAGATTTCATAGACTCATAGAGTTGGAAGGGGACATTCAGAACATGGAGTGCAAATCCCTGCTCAGTGCAGGAATCCAAATTAAGTCATCCCAGAAAGAAGGCCATCTAGCTGCCATCTGAACACATCTGATGAAGAAATCTCTCTGGGTCAATGGTTCCACAATAGAAGTGCTGTCACTGTTAGAAACCTTTTTCCAATATTCAGTTGGAGTCTATCTTCCAGTAAGCTAAATTCATTATTTCAAAACTTGTACTCTGGAATGAGCAAGAAGAGGTGACATCATTTCACTCGAGTCTTCTCAAGGCTAAACATGCCCAGCCCATTCAACCTTTCTTTAGTGGGCTTAGTTTATGGTCCCTTGATTATTTTCATGGCCCTTGTCTAACTTGTTCCAGTTCCTCTGAACACTCTTAAAGTGTGGTCCCCACCATTCAACAGTATCCCTTAGGTCTCACCAAAGCAGAATAAAATGGAATTATTACCTCCAGTGATTTGAAAAATTATACTTCTGCTAATGCAGCCTATAATGGCATCCCTTTTCTTTGCAGCCACATCACAATGCTGGCTCACATTCAGTTTGGAAACGTAAGTCCAATGTGTTTTTAAAAGTAATTTTAAACAAGATAGGTTTCTATCCATCCTATATCTATGCAGGTGAACATTATTTTCTAAATGAAGACCTTTGCATTTGTCTCTGTTAAATTTCATTCTGTTAACTTTCAAGTTTGTTTTGAATTTGATTTGTTTCCTCTTTTTTTGCTTTTTTTAATTTGT